GGCTTCATTGGTAAGGGGGCCTTACTGTCCAGGGCCTGAAGGAGCTCAGGAAAGGTTGGGGGGACCTGTATCCTTGCCTGTACACCTTCCTGGCTGACTTCTGTCCTCATCTCTCTTGCAGACTCAGTGAAGAACAGTGGAGGCCGGGTGCTGGTGCACTGCCAGGCGGGCATCTCACGCTCAGCTACCATCTGCCTAGCATACCTGATACAGAGCCATCGGGTACGGCTGGATGAGGCTTTTGACTTTGTGAAGCAACGCCGGGGAGTCATCTCCCCCAACTTCAGTTTCATGGGTCAGCTGCTGCAGTTTGAGACCCAAGTGTTGTGTCACTGAGGCAGAGCCCCTCTTCCTACCCTGCTTTTGGCTCCTACTGATTTCTAGGGGGAGCTGACTGGACAGGCAGGGTCCTCTCTGGTCCGTTTCATCCCCCTCACTTGGAGAAGGATGCTGGACTTTCTGATCTGGTGCTTTTTGGCTAGGGGTTTAAGGGCAGGCCCTTATTTAGGAGACAAGGATGAGGCATGTCTGCTCTCTCCTCTTCTCTCCTCTGGCAGAAATGGACTTGACTACACCCACGGGCTCTCTGTGGTCCTATCACCATTGAACCCTTGGCAGCTTGAAAGCCCCAAGAAGCAAGTTGTGGCAACCAGAAGCCCTGGCTAGGGGTGACTTGGGCCTGGAACCTGAGCCTGGTGCTCCTGGAGGAGCTGGGAACAAAAGACATGATGTGTGTGTCATGTTACGAATTTCTTGCTTGCATGAGTATATGTGAGTGCCTGTCACCACTATTGTCATTTGGAAGTTATTTGTGTTCAACTGACATTTAACACTCCCTCCCCACTTCCTCCCAGCCCTGCAGGCGGGGGTTTGGAAACTTAGCACTTTATATTTATACAGAACATGGAGGATGTGTCAATAAAATATTGTTTTGTTTAAAAAACTAACAGTATCCTAAATGTCTGATCTCAAGTTCATCCCTGGGAGAAGGTTCTGAGGCTGCTCCTTCTGTAGTTAGTATCTGGGAAGTGAAGGGCTCAGTCTCCCTCTTGGATTGAGGGTCTTTCCCAGGCAAGTTCTGCCTCTTGAGCTGAAAGGGATGGGCTTGTGGGAGGATGTCTTTGTGTCTTGGTCTCAGAATGGACCCAGTGCTCTCTTGGTCAGACCCCAGAACCACTTTTTTTTTCTTCTGAATATGTAAGGTGGATGTATGTTATGTGTATAGTCCAGTGTGTGGCTGTTACTGTGGGAGTGTATGCACATTTCACATGTGGCTGATTCTAGGGAATGTATTCTATGTGTTTTCCCTCAGCAAGGCTCTCATGGCTCTGTGTGTGTGTGTGTGTGTGGTGTGGTGTGTGAAGGAGAAAGCACAGTCTTCCCCCATAATCAGATTGGCCCCTCCCAGGTGTCATTGCTCCTGTCCATACCACAGCTCATTGTAGCCTCTATTTCCGAGCTGCTCCTCATCTTCAGAAGGCATTTGGCTTGGGATTGAGTGTAGAGGACTTGTCACGTCACTAGGGATTCGTTGTTTATATACTCATCCAAGTAGCATATCATTGAGCATTGGGTAACTGAGCAGAAGAATGTGCCAAGGCTCCCAAAGACCGGTACTGGCATCTCTGGGATTTACCTGAGAGCAGAGGCTGCTGAGCCCATGTGATGGTGGAGATGATGTTCCTTGCTGCTCACATGGTTTCTATCTGGTCTACTCCATTTTGCCCTTCCAGACTCACTCAAGGTTTGTCCCCTGCCTGAGGGCCTGGCAGGGTGTCCTGTTGTGGAACAATGTAGTTTGATGGTCAGGGGGCAGGTTTTGCTTTATTCTCTGTCATTTTCCCCAACTGTAAAATAGGACTTACCATCAGCCCTATCTTTAAGGTGTAAATAGTATTACTGGTCCACAAAAAGACCTATGCACATTCAGATAACATTACTATTGGCTGTACTAAGAGCAATATTTTCTGGATGTGGGGTGTGCAGGTGTGTATCTGGATGGGGGCCAGACCCTCAGATCTGTGTCTGGAGCCTGGCACAGGTGGGTGTTTGCTTTCTAAAGATGAATGGTTTGCTGCCTGTCCCCAGAGCCTATTCCTACTAGTCTCAGGGGAGGAGCAAGGTGCTGCTGCTGGGGAGGTCTGGGAAGAGCAGGGTTGTTCTCAGGCCATACTTGGGCTTCCACAGGGACCTGTCTGTAATTTTTACAGCCAGCTCAGGGTGGGTGGGGGACATCTAGGGGCTGGAGTCATTGTGCACTTCCTGCTATACTGCCCTACCTCACACACAATGGGACTGGTGGCTAGGGAGTCTGCCCATCTCTCCCTACCCCATCCTGGCCTCCCTCCCCTGTTGTTTTTAAACAAATGGAATTTCCTCATCTCTATTGTTTTTGTTTTTATGCTGGTACTAGGGCTTGAACGCTAAGTCTCACATTTTTGCTTGGATCTTTCGATCAAGGTTGTCAAGGTTGGTGCTCTATCACACCCCTACTTCTGGCATTTTCTTGGTTAGTTGGAGATAAAAGTCTCAAGAGTTTTATTTGCCCTGCCAGCTTGGAGCGGTGATTCTCAGATCTCAGCCTCCTGTGTAGCTAGGATTACAAGCATGAGGCACCAGTGCCTGGTTTTACTCATTTTCTAATCTGGAGTTTGAACTCAAGGCCTTGTGCTTACTATGAAGGCACCCCACCCCAAGCCACAGAGTTTTAAACAAATTATTTCATTTCATTTATTTTATTTTTTGGAAGTACAGTTGGAACTCAGAGCCTCATGCTTGCTAGGCAAGAAATCTACTTGAGTCACTTACTCAGCCTCCTCCTCCTCCTCCTCCTCCTCCTCCTCCTCCTCCTTCTCCTCTTTCTCCTCCTCCTCCGCCTTCTTGTGCCAGTACTGGGGCTTGAACTCAGGAACTGGGCACTGTCCCTGAGCTTTTTGTGCTCTAGGCTAGTGCTTTACCACTTGAGCTATAGCTCTACTTCTGACTTTTTAGTGTTTAATTGGAGATAAGAGTCTCACTGACTTTCCTGTCGCAGCTGGCTTCAAACCATGATTGTCAGATCTCAGCTTCCTGAGTAGCTAGGATTACAGGTGTGAGCCATTGGAACCTGGCTCTATTCTTTTTGTGTGTGTATGTGATGGTACTGTGGCTTGAACTCAGTGCCGTACACTTTCTCTGCTTGCTCAGCTGGTACTCTACCTCTTGAGCTCCAGCTCCAACCCAGCATTTTGTTGGTTAATCAGAGATAGAGTCTCACAGATTTTTCTGCCTTGGCTGGCTTTGAATCTCAATCCTCCAGGTCTCAGTCTCCAGATTAGCTAGTGAGCCAATGGTACCTGGCTATTCTGTGTGTGTGTGTGTGTGTGTGTGTGTGTGTGTGTGTGTGTGTGTGTGTACCTGGCTATTCTGTGTGTGTGTGTGTGTGTGTGTGTGTGTGTGTGTGTGTGTGTTGATCCTGGTCTTGAACACAGAGCCTGGTTGTTGTCCCTGAGCTTTTTTGCTCTAGGCTAGCACTCTATTGCTTGAGCCACATCTCCACCTTCAGTTTTTTTGGTGGTCAGTTGGAGACAAGAGCCTTATAGATGTTGTTTTACTTGGGCTAGTTTTGAATTGTGATCCTCAGATCTCAGCCTCCTGAGTAGTTACGATTACAGGTGTGAACCTTTGGTGCTTGGCTGACAGACAAGAATCTGTTTCATTGCCCAAGCAGGGTAATTATTATTGCTGTTAACTTCATTTTTTTTTTGCCTTCATGCACTCTAGTTTTGGGGCCTATATTTTATTTTCCTGAGTTGTTGAAAAAAAACTGACAACACTAAATGTTTAGGGCATAGAGTGTAGTGCTTTAATAAACTTATGCTGTGTGAAATGACTCCACAATCAAGCTAACATACCATCATTAGTATTGACATATCAACACCCTGCCCAGGCAGCAGAGACATCTGCCTTAATCCCTGTGCCTCAGATTTCTGTTTTTTGAGAAATGCTGGACTCATGGCACAGCAGGGACACCAATAAATTATTATGGACAGTTGCTGGTATTCCTGGCTGTTACTTTCCTTCCCTAGGTACTGGTGATGGATTTGGCCTCTGAATTGAGCCTAGCATTGACATGCTCCACCTCCTGTATGTTGATGAGGGAAGGTGATTGGGCTATGACAGAGAAGCTAGGTAGATAAGGTTTTACTTTTCAAATCTGTGAAATGAGAATATGTACTGGTTCATTGTGCCAGGATGTGTGTCATTAGAAATGTCCATGTGAATGTCTTAAGTGTTTAAAAAGCTCCACTGGGTGCTGACCATAGGGGTGTTCTGTGAGAAGTTTCACAGAGCTCTGAACTTGTGATTGTGCATTTTTCTATATGAATTCTAAAATAAAAGCCTATAAGATGTAGTCATCTTTCCCTCATCTTCAAGTACACAGCAATGGTGGGGGAGGGGCTGTGCATTAGGGTCTTACACAGGATCCCTGGTGGAGGGGGTAGAAGGAGAATAAAGGAAAGAGTCTTTAGCTGGAGGATGAAGTTCTTCCTGTTACTGGAGCCTCGACCCCACCCAGAGTACCTTTCTTCAATGTTTTTCTGCCCTCTGGTGGCAGGCGGGGATTTTGGAGGAGCCACTCCTAAGTGAACCTTTTCCACTCTTTGATCCACTTCTGCCAGGGTGAGTGGGCCTGGAGTCCAGAGGGCTCAGGACTGAACTAGGGTTGGGAGAGGGTCGGGTCTCAAGTAGGCGTGGAAGGGCTGCAGGTGGAAGCTATTGGGCGAGGCAGCCCGTGGAGGTGGTTGGGGCTGGGAGGAGCTGCAGGTGGGTATGGAATGCAGGAGCTGCAGGTGGAGATGGTTAGATCTCCCACTTAAGGCTGGGGGTGGGGGTGGGGAACGGTCTGGCAGAGATGCTATTTAAGCAGGTATGTGTGTGTGGGGGGGGTTAAGCCTGCCATTAGACTCCCCTATTACATGGAGGATTTGTTCTCTTTCTTGCTGAGAGGCAGTGGTGCCATGGGGCACATGGGAGGCCTCTGGGTGCTGGGTTTGCTCTTCTTGATTGGTAAGCTGGCTGCAGTCTCCAGAGCACTGGAGAGAGGCCAGGAGCCTCATTACATAGGCCTTCACTGAGCTTACTAGCTCAGCACGGGACTCTCTAGGGGTGGGGGAAGGGGTTGTTAGAGGGGAGCTCCTAGAGGCTGGGGGCAGAGGGCCTGCCCAGCAGCAGACAACAGTTCGATTCCTGCTCTAAACCTGCTTGTTTTGCGGGTAGGGATCCCTATTCTAGCCTGGTTAGGGGAAGGGGTCACCCAGACTAGGCTCATTTTCCAGAACTCCAGCTGAGAAAGGGAGTTGAGGAGTTGGGTCTGAGGCTACCCAGAACTGCCAACAGCATGAAGACCCAAGCGCTTTCCTGCCTTTGTTCTTCCTCCCACCCTCTCTATCTCATGCATGCAATGCATGCCTTTTGGAACCAAGGGTTATTCCTTGGAAGAGACCTCCTGTTGTTTCTAAGCTGTCTAAACCTTGTCACAAGGTGGAGCTGGTCAGGGCGGCCAGACAGTTCCCCAGGTCTTGCGCTGGAGACCTCTGGCTGAAGAGGTGGATACCCTGGGCATCCCACATCCTGTTGTGCTGTCTCCTAAGTGGGATCATGAGGTATTTGTGTTTGTATCTGTGTTTCTGGGCTAGGTTCGATCCTAGGAGCACCCTCGGCTTCCCCATGTCTAGGAGCCTGCAGTACCAGTGTCCCAGAAGGCCTCATCTCTGCGGGAAGCCAGGCAGCCGTGGACCAGGATATCCCTGCGATTAACCAAGGTGAGTGCACTCAAACTCTTCTGGAAGGGGTAGGACATTATCCATGTGATGGGAACGCCCCATGGGACACTGGGCATGCAGGAAAGCCTGAAAGGCACCAGCTTCCTCAGGGACCTGTAAGTGGGTGGGTGTTCCACTTGCAGAGGCTTAAATCTATTTTTCTGTATCCTTTCTGGTGGCGTGTTATTTTTATGTGAAAGAAAGTACAGATCTTTCAAAAAGATGGCCTGATAAAAGTATAGGTCATTGGGCTCTTTGAGGCTGGGTGCTAGGTTAAATCTTCATAGATGGTTGAGAATATGTCAGCCACCCCATAAGGGGAAGTCTGCAGGTGTGGTCAGGCTGGGCTACAAAGAAGCTTGTGACTGAGGGATCTCAGCTGAGAATGAGGACATACAGACAGGCCGCCGCTGGTGGAAATGGAAAGGAGGCTTGAATTTCCATGTGGGAGCACCACAGGTGGAGGGGTTGATGGAGCAGCGATGACCTGGCCTTGTGGTGGGTTCTAAGTAGATGCAGTGTCTGCCCTCCTTCTCTGTGAGCCAGCTAGGAGAGCCAGCACCTGCCAAACTGTGAGCTGGGCACCAGTCCCTGCTCTGGTTACCTGCGTATTCTGGAGGTAGCCAGAAGCAATGTATGTTTCCTGCATCGATTTTTTTAGATATAAAGAGAAAAAACAGCCTCAACACCTTTCTCTCTGAGCCCAAAGGAAGTCATAAACACTGCCCATGCTCTACCCAATGTGCTTTTGTGGAGAAACCCCCATCAGTCCCAGCTGTGTGAATGATGGCTGCCAATACCGCACAGCTGTGCCGATTACAGAGCTTAACCTTTGGCCAAAGGAACCAGCGTTGGCTAGTGGTACCTGGTAGCCCTCCCTCCTCTATGGCAATGGCTCAGAAGGGGCAGGAGAGATGATCTGTGGTACTTGTGGTCCAGAGCTCTCGTGAGATCAGGTGTAGCCTCTGTTCCTCCAGGGCTTCCCTTCCTGCCTATCTACTTCTCCAGAAGCCACTCTCCCCATGCCTTGAAGAAGGCTCCCTAGCTGGAGAGAGATGAGAAATAGCTGAGGCAAATATGAGGTCCTGGATTCAAGCTCCAGTACTGCAGAAAGAGATGGAGGGGAGAGAGGGAAGATGGGAAAATGGGTCGTCATAGTGTGAGTTGAGAGTTGATATCTGTCCCTTGTTACCTCAAGGGTTCCAAATGTAACAGATGTATAGGGGTCATACATCTGTATATGGCAGGATTATTTGATGAGGTAGGAAAGAAAGGCTCAGGGCATATTTTAGGAATAGGAGAGAGTTGGGCTGGAGTAGGGGCAGAGGAGGCCCCTGGTAGAAGAGGCTGCATTCTGACAGTAGAGGGCCTGGAACTGGGACTGGATTATGGGAGCCATGGGCTGTGTTTTAAGCAGGGAAAGGGTGTGATCAGGCTGAGAATCTGGGATGCTCGGGGCTGGGAGTGGGGAGTGGGGCAGGAGGCTGCCCTGGAGCCTCAGTGCTCAGGAAAGTGCTAGCTCTAAAGTCAAAGGAGACCCAGGCCCAGGGGTTGCTGTCCCTATAGTCTGTGTTCTGGGGGATTCAGGCCACTAAGACGGCCTTCCTTCTCTCCCAGGGCTTATCCCAGAGGAAACCCCAGATGCTAGCTTCTTGATGGAGGGGGATATCATCCGGCCGGTGAGTATTCTGAGTCCTCTGAGCCCACCCCTCCATGTCACATATGTTTGACATGAGGGACCTGTCTTTGCTTCTCATGGCTGAATAGACACTTTGTTTTTGGTCACATCAAGGTGAATGTTCTATTAGGAATAATCAGTAGGAATGTTAATGGAGGGTGACAGCCAAGTCGCAACGCTGTCATCCCCATAGGGCTACCTGTATTAGGAGGTTTGGGTCCTCATAGTACTCCCACTTGGTACCCTGCCCAGGGGAGGTGCTCAGGAAGCACTGGGGTGGAGATGTGAGTCCAGGCTAGCAGAGTTAGGGTGAAGGCGAAGGGCCTGCATTACATCAGTACTGAGTAAACCAGAACAGCTGTGAATGGAGAGAATGTCTTTGGGTGAGGGGCAAGTCAGAAGGTAGGAGGCTGGTGTGGACTTGGGTAGCCAGGAAGGAACACATTGCTTAGGAGAGCAGAATCATATGTCAGCCAACTGATGGCGATAGAAGGCTCCAGGACAGGAGAGTACCCAGCGGAAAGAAGACTATCTTGATGGATTATTGCCGTTCCCACACCCATGGCTGCACTGGAGAGCTGGGGGCAGGGTTAGGTCACTGTTGTAGGTTATTCTGTGAAGCGAAGTATGGGTGTTGGGAGATGGGGGTGGAGCATTGGGTGAGGTGGTCACGTGATGCCTCACAGAGCACAGTAAGTCAAACCTTTGATGGCTGTTGAAGCAGGTCCTGCTGGGAACTGTGAAGCCTATATCCCAGAATTCCATTTGGTGGAAGGATGGAAAAAGGAGCCACTGGGGCATCTATGTGACCAGGCCCCCATCCCATCCTCTTTCTACCTTCAGAGGAGCTCGGGGGTGGCACTGTTTTGCTGAGGTGCTGGGGTGGGGGCTGCTGGTTAGAACTGAGTTCTCTTCTGAACCAGGCACCTTGGGCTGCTGAGACCTGGCAAACTTCTTGTCCTTACCTGCTTGATATTATGTATATATATTATACCCTTTAAGTTTTGTGCCATCCTCTGCCAAACCAAAGGATGGTGCCTTGGGCCTCATAATTTCACATGGCTCACCTACCGAAGCCCCATGCTTCCGTTTCCCTTCTAGTGATCTCTGAAGTCTGGGATCAGGGCTTCAAGCTCACCCCCTCAAAATAGGTGACATTGAGGAAGAAGGCTCAGCTGCAGACAGACTCTAGCTGGGTAACCATGCGGCCTGGAGGGAACAGGACAGTTCCCATCAGCTGTTCCAAGATTTCAATGTTCTGGGTTCAGGAGGCCCTGGGGACAGACCTCTTTGGAGAGGAGGGGCTGCCCTCACAGCTCATGTCCTGCCTCTCACATCTTCAGGGTTGCAGTAGCCTGAGGTGTGACACCCAGGCGGGTATGAAGCTTGGGGACCCTGTGTCCCTTGAGATCTCTGAGTTGCATTCTCTTCTCAGAACTCCTTCCAACTGTTATCGGTGACCAACAACAAGTGGCCCAAGAGTGCTGGTGGCATCGTGGAGGTCCCCTTCCTGCTCTCCAGCAAGTATGGTGAGTGACTCCCTTACTGTGGAGGATTCTTCCTTAGGCAGTAGGGCCCTGCCTGGAGTTAATCTTTCCCCTTTTCCTTGTAGAGTCATAGCCCCTCTCTTACCCAAAGGGGCAGCCCCCCCTCTCCAAAGAGGTCTGTCCCCAGGGCCTCCTGAACCCAGAACATTGAAATCTTGGAACAGCTGATGGGAACTGTCCTGTTCCCTCCAGGCCGCATGGTTACCCAGCTAGGGTCTGTCTGCAGCTCAGCCTTCTTCCTCAATGTCACCTATTTTGAGGGGGTGAGCTTGAAGCCCTGATCCCAGACTTCAGAGAGCCATAGCAGCTTTGCGGTCTTGGCAGGGGGTCAGCTAGGGTGTCTTCTTCAGATGAGCCCAGCCGCCAGGCCATCCTTCAGGCCTTTGCAGAGTTTGAACATTCCACGTGCATCCGATTTGTTGCCTACCAGGGCCAAAAAGACTTCATTTCCATCATCCCTATGTCGGGGTGAGTGCTCCTGGTGTGGGGGTGTGTGTGTGTGTGGGTGTGTGTGTGTGGGTGTGTGTGTGGGTGTGTGTGTGGGTGTGTGTGTGGGGGTGTGTGTGGGGGTGTGTGTGGGGGTGTGTGTGTGGGTGTGTGTGGGTGTGTGTGGGTGTGTGTGGGGGGGGTGTGGGGGTGTGTGTGGGGGGGTGTGGGGGTGTGGGGGTGTGTGTGTGGGGGTGTGGGGGTGTGGGGGTGTGGGGGTGTGTGGGGGTGTGTGTGGGTGTGTGTGGGTGTATGGGGGGTGTGTGGGGTGTGTGTACATTCAGCCTGTGTGTATGTGTATGTGGGTCTCAACATTCAGCCTGTAATAAACGCTGATGTGGTTTAAACTTATTTCTGGGTTTGCCCCTGAGCTGGACTTGCAGACTGAAGGCGGGGAAGGGATGAGTTTTGAGCTCCACCTTTATCTCTAATCCTGGGAGGCTTTGTGGTGGGAGTTGTGAGCAGATCTTTCATCCTGGTTCTGTAGTGCATGCATCACCTAATTATAGGAAAGTCATCTAACTTGTAAGACCCACTGCCCTCTCTTTGAGATGGGGGAGTGGCTTGAGGTTATCTAGGGCTCATGGGGAAGGTCCACTCACGTAACTATTGCGTCCATTCTCCATGTTATTATTGGGTTTCTCCTCTTCCTGGCAGCCCAGGTTTCATTATACCTACCTCACAGACGCTCAGGGCATTCACAAGGCTTGTGGGGGAAAATCACACCTGGGGTATGTGATAGGAGTACCCCTTTTGGTGCTCATGTGTCCTAGGACATGGGGGAGGGAAAGGCCTGCTCTCTTCCTGTCCCCTTGTTTGATTGACACACTGTGTTCTTGCAGGTGCTTCTCTGGTATAGGGCGCAGTGGAGGGATGCAGGTGGTGTCCCTGGCACCAGCCTGTCTCCAGAAGGGCCATGGCATTGTACTTCATGAGCTCATGCATGTGCTGGGCTTCTGGCATGAGCATACACGGGCTGACCGAGACCGCTACATCCGGGTCAACTGGAATGAGATCCTCCCGGGTAAGCTTGCTGGTGCCCAGGATGGGCTGGGCTTGAGGGCCCTGGGAGAGGGGAGAGGGCAGCAGGTTTAGGGCAAGGAGCTTTCTGCCTCCTTTGGATAAAATTATCCATCTTTCCAAGGGAAAAGTGTGGTTTCTCGTTCCTGGCACCTGGCTCTGGCTCTGGCTGTTGGCTGTAAACTTGGCCTTCATCTGTGTTCTTTTATTGTGCCCGAGTGAGGGTGTCACCATTTGTTTTGTGTCTAACTTCTTACTGGCACTGTTAGTCACTTGAGCATGGAATTGGCAGTGGCCTATGGCTTTTCTCACCTACTGTTCAACTAGCCATCCCCTGTGTTGTATAGGGGTGGGGGTGCATGTCACTTGAAGGCAGCGAGCAAGAAGGAAGCCCAGGAGGTAATGAGTTGTATGTGCCAGGCGTAGCAAAGGCAAGATGCAGGAGTATGTGAGATGGGCATCCATTGGCACAAGGCTCAGGAAACTAAGGAGGCTCCAGCCGTGGCAAAGCTAAGACTCTGCTCAGATGCATGTGAATGGTGTCTATGTGCTGGGGATCCCAGGGATGTGGGAATCCCTGCTTTCAGGGGCTCAAAGGCCTGATTTCAGATGGAAGAAGTGTTCAGGGGTTGGTGGGGGAGGAGTAAGGGGCTTCCTGTGTGCAGACAGCTCCTGGCATTTGGGGGTTAGGGGCTTTCCTACTGCTGTGGTTCTGGCTGAGTAAGAAAGTTGGGAAGGTGTCTTGAGGTCAACAGAGCAGTTGGCAAGGAATGCTCGGTCACAGGATGCCTTTGGGTGGAGGGGTCTGGTATAGAGGGATGGGATTGAGTTGGATTAGGTTAGGGGGACTGCATAAGGGCTGGTGCAGTCTCTGTGCCCTTCAATGAGATCATGTCCTTCCAGGCACTCCTGGAGTAGTTGGAAAACTTGAGATTTGAAAGAGGAGAGTTAGGAAAATTTGAGATTTGAAAGAGCAGAGTTAGGACGAATGTTCTGATCATTATGTAAGGTAAAAACTAATAAACAGAACCCCAAGTTTCTTTTAGTTCTGTAAAACAGTGTAGGAATTCTCAAAAATTATTCCTGACATAGTTTCAATATTTGGGAGGCTGAAGCAGGAGGATCATAAGTTTGAGTCCAACCTAGGCTACATAGTGAGATCTTGTTTACACACACACAGCCATCATGAGATACTATATTAAAATGAATGGTTCATGGTTAAGGTCAGGCTCTGGGAAAGTTTATAAATGTGGATACTTATATCCATGAAAATAGAACAAACAAATTAAGCATGCCACTTTAAGGTAAGGGGAAAAAAGCTGGAGGAATTAATAAAGGTAAAAGCAGAAATTAATGAGTTAGTAAGCAGCATTAATTAACTCAAGGCATTCTAGCAACAGAGCAGGCTAAGCCACCACCTACTCCAGGCTGAGGAATGTAGCTCAAGGCAGAACACTTAATATGCATAGGGTGCTAGGCCCCCCAAAACCAAACCTCAAACTCAGCTACCGCAAAGGAGAAAACATGGTTTTTCTTAGTAATAGAGAAAAATAAGAACATATTTGCATTTAATTATCATGAACAGAACAAACTCTGCTAAGATGTAAAAACGAATCCCAGTAATTAACAGTTGTGGGGGTTGAGAGATGGGAAGTCAGCAATAAGGATGGAGCAGGAGATTTAATTACTATATGTGTATATATGCATGTATATGTAGACACACATTTTGTACACATACATGCTGGATATTGAACCTATAGCCTTATATAAGTGAGATATTTGATTTTTGAGCCAGAAAAAAGTTGCTTATTAAATATTTAATAAAGGAGTTTGTTTTGTCGGGGAGGAAGGTTCCATATGTAGCCTAGGCTGACCTCCAATTTGTCAGCCTCTTGCCTCAGCTTTCTGAGTACTGTGATCACAGGTGTGTACTACCACACCCTATGATAATAAAAGTTTTTAAAGCAAGTTGGGTGTCAGTGGCTCACATTTGTAATCCTATATACTCCTGAGGATACCAGTTCAAAATTAGCCCAGGCCAAAAAAATGCTCGAGTCCTTTTTTTTCCCAGTGAGTCTGGCAAAAAAAACATTTGGGCTGGAGGCATGGCTCAAGTGGTAGTGCACTAACTGAGCAAATGCAAGATTCTGAGTTCAAACCCAACAACAACAAAGAAAAGGATTTTAAAGGGAAGAATGCCGCATATTCCAGGGCAGATTTTTTTTTTGGCAGGTAGTGAAATAGAAAGGAACTGAAATGCTGATCTACTTTGTGGTAAGATGGCTGCTGATGACCTTGGGGAGGGAGATGTTGAGAACAGAGCTGGCTGGATCTGGGGGACTAAGAACAAAGATGCAGACAATAGCTCCCTTTCAGAAGCTTATAGTGAAGGGCAGGAGAGAACCTGCCCCTCCTAGGCCCAGAGGATCCAGAGAGTTGTTCTCTGGCCAACCAGGATGACTAGGTTGGTAGGCTCCAGATATAGCCTGTAGTAGGAAGATCAAGAGGTACTTGCTGCTGGGGTGCGAGCATCATGATTCCAGAACTCAATACTTGGATGCTACCCCTTAGGGTTTTCATTTTATTTGTTAATTATTATTTCCTTAATTGTACAGAGGATTTTTAAAAATAATTTTTTATTGAGATGAGGTGATTACATAAGTTTCACCTATTTCACAGTATTGTGGAATAGTGATACTTGGTCACAAACACATTTTAACTGTCACAAGGCAAATTGTCTATAAGGTTTGTGAGTTCTATGAGCTTTGACAATACAACTATTTCTTCCACTTCAGGTGATATGTACACTTCTTTTCTTTTGCTTAGTGTCAGCTGTTCCTCTTTCCCTCTCATTCCCTCCCTCCCATCGCTGCCTTTCAGTTGCTTAATTCATTTTCCTCAATGTCCAGTGCAGCCGATGAGCCTGTACAGAGGGGTTTTGACTCAACATGTCAGGTTGTGAGATAATGCATTTTGATCAATGTCGTCGCTTTCGTCATTCTCCCCCATCTTTCAACCCCAGCCATTCCTTCAATTGGCCTGGTTCCATTTTCACATATATGGACATTGAATATTGAATCTGCATTTGCCCACCCTTCCTCCATTCATCTGCTCCTCCTCACTACCTCACACTACAAATTTCAACTTCCTGGTATTTTTTTTTTCCACTAAGGCTGGTGCTCTACCATTTGAGCCACAGCACCACTTTCAGCTCTTTGGTCGTTAATTGGAGGTAGTTTCACAGACTTTCCTCCCTGGATGGCTTTGAATTTCGATCTTCAGATTTCCGCCTATTGGGTTGCTAGGTTTATTGGCATGAGCCACTAGCTGCTGGTTGGCTAGCACACTTTTAAGACTGTTCACTGGGTATAGACTCATAGACACTGTAGTTTTAGCATATTAGGCCTATATACGGTGGATCTGAGCAGGAAGGAGAGGAGAGACTTGGTTGGTGGGAGGTGATGGCTATGACATCATTGCTTTACACTCCACCTGGTTTGGGTTTGCCCCTCTCCCAGGGGAGAGCAGGGTGGTGCAGGCATGCAGGAGTTAGGAACCAGATAGAAACACTTGGCTGTGGGTTCAGATTCCTTGGTGTAGATGGGTAACTAATTCCCAGAAAGTCATCTTTTATCCCTTGCCTCCCCACATTTCTCTCTCTCTCCCTCCCCCCCTCTCTGTGGTGTTTTAAGGCTTTGAAGTCAATTTCATGAAGTCTCAGAGCAGCAACATGCTGGCCCCTTACGACTACTCATCAGTGATGCACTATGGGAGGTAAGCATTCTTCTCCTCCCTCCCTTCCCCCACACCACTCTCCCAGTCCCTGCTGTGGTCTTCATGTTGGCCCCATCCTGGGTTCCAGGTTGGCCTTCAGCTGGCGCAGGCAGCCCACCATCATACCGCTCTGGGCCCCCAGTGCCCATATTGGCCAGAGATGGAACCTGAGTGCCTCGGATATCAGCAGGGTCCGCAAGCTCTATGACTGCAGCCCAAGAGGTCCTGACTCCTTTGGGAACGGTGAGTGATGGGGAGGTGATGTGAAGTGGAGAAAGCGCCATGTTGATGTGGGGTGAGGTGGTGGGAGATGAGTCTGCAGAGGGGAGGTGGGCAAGATCACTGTGGCTCACCACATACCATCATCAGAAACAGAAGGAATGAAGTTAACAGCCAATTGATTACTTAGCAAATAAACAGAGGCCACTTTTTCTTCTTTTCTTTTCTTTTTTTGGGTCTGGTCGTGGGGCCTGAACTCTGGGCCTGGGCGCTGTCCCTCAGCTCTTCAGCTCAAGGCTAGCACTCTACCACTTGAGCCATAGCGCCACTTCCAGCTTTTTCCTTTTTGCTTATGTGGTGCTGAAGAATCGAACCCAGGGCCTCAGGCATGCAAGGCAAGCACTCTCCACCTTCCCAGCCCAGAGGCCACTTTTTCTTAACCTAGATAATGGACATCTATCCAAACTTAAGAGCAGAAGTAATTTTTAATGGCAAACTACAAAAACTAAGACCAAGTTTTCTCATTCTCTCATCTACCCAAGACTGTAGGGGAAGTCTTAGCGGTTGCAGGATGACAAAAAGAAAGAATTGGAAAAGAAGCAAACCAGTCACTAACGAGGGGTGATTGTATTGCAAGTAGAGAAACCCTATACACAACTATTAGAGCAAAGACAAATTTAAAAAGAAATGTAATCAATGTATTAGACTCAATTATATTTACCTTTGGAAAATATAATTTAAAATACCTTTATAATACTGGTAATAGGTCTCAAGGAATAAAGGTGGCAAGAAGCTGTCTAAGATTTCTACAGGGGAACTGGAGATGACTCAAGTGGTAGAGTACCAGACTTGAGTAAAAAAGCCAAACAAGAGCATAAGGCCCTCAGTTCAGTCCCAGTATCCCCATGCCTCCCCATCTCTTTCAACCTCTCTCCCTCCCCTTCCTCCTCTCCCCCATCGTTCCCCCCTTCCTCCTCTCCCCCATCGTTCCCCCCACATCTTTTCCCTCCCTCCTCCCAGGGAAAAGCACCTAAATGGAAGGTGCTTCCCATTGTGCCAAAGGGCAATGTGAAATATTCATTAAAAAAAATACTGAAGCTGGGCGCCGTGGCTCACGCCTGTAATCCTAGCTACTCAGGAGGCTGAGATCAGAGGATCACCGTTCAAAGCCAGCCCAGGCAAGGAAAGTCCGTGAGACTCTTATCTCCAATAAACCACTAGAAAACCGGAAGTGGCACTGTGGCTCAAGTGGTAGAGTGCTTGCCTTGAGCTGAAGAGCTGAGGGACAGCACCCAAGCCCAGAGTTCAAGCCCCATGACCAACCAAAAAAAAAAAAAAAAATACCGAAAGCTGGGCATAGTGCCTCATGCCTGTGATCCTAGCTACTCAGGAGGTTGGTATCAGGAAGATCATGATTAGAGGCCACCCTGAGCAGAAAGTTCATGAAACTCCATCTCAGCTAATAAAAAGCTGGATGTGGTAGTACATTGTCATCTCAGCTGTCTAGGAAGCATAGATTAAAAAGGGTAACAGGCCAGACTGGCCAGGACATAAATGTTAGGCCCTATTTGAAAAATAACTAGAATAAAATGAGTTGAAGCCGTGGCTCAAGGGTAGAGTGCTTGCTTAGCAAGCACAAGGTATTGAATTCAAACCCCAGTAACCCCCTCAAAAGTGTTAAATTTATAGATAGATACGTATCATAGTCATGGAAAGGAGGATAAAATAAAAGGAAGATAAAAACTCATCTCTCAAATATTATCTATAGGCAATAAATTTCGACTCAAAAATTTTGACTCAAAATCCAAGTAAGTTTTGGTGCAGATAGGGATTCTAAAATTTGTCTTGGCCTAGCAACACAGTCATTGTTTATAAGATAATCTGTATAACACACCTGCGGGTATACAGATATACACCGTATAAGGTGTGTTCATACAAAAGAGTCAATTGTCTGTGGGAATTGAATGGCAAGTCCAGAAGTGGATCCCATAGAGAGTTTGATCACCAGGGAAAAGGTAAATTAGTTACTGGGTAATTCTGAGACTATTGGGTAACTACTTAAAATTCTTAATTGTACAGAATAAATCCATGCATGTAAGACTTGTATGTAAATGATAAAACTTTTAAAAGAAAACATTCAACAAGATTTTTTGGTCAGCCATAGGGCTTGAACTCAGGGCCTGGGAGTTGTCTTTGAGCTCTTTTGCTTAAGGCTAGTGCTCTACCACTTTGGGCTATAGGGCCACTTCTGGTTTTCTAGTGGTTAATTGGAGATAAGAGTCTCATGGACTTTCTTGCTAAGGCTTGCTTCAAACTTTGATCCTCCGATCTCTGCCTCAGGAGTAGCAAGGATTACAGGTGTGAGCCACCAGTGCCTGGCTTTTGACAAGATATTTCTATAACCTCAGGACAGGGAAAGTTCTCTTAAATAAGGTATAAATAATCCTATCCCTAAAACTGGGATTCACAAATCCAACTACATTTATCATAAAACTAATTATCAACAGGTAATATGAATAAAGTAAAAATGCACATTATAAACCTAGAAAATGTTTCCAATATATCATCAGTTGCATGCAGTATACATAAAAATTAATAAGACAAAAGAAAAACTACCAAATAGAAAAATGGGTAAGATACTTAACAGATATATCGGGAGAAATCAAACGTGGAACAAGCGTGGCACCGTGAGCCTATTGGGTGTGGTGGTACACAACTGTAAGCCCAGCATTCGGGCTAAGGATGCAGGGGGACCAAGAGTTCAAGACCACTTTGGGAGACATAGGGAGACTATCTTAAAAACAAAAACAAAATGACCCAAACAAAGACTCATTAGTGATTTAGGAAATGCAAAAGAAGCCAGGTGCTGGTGGCTCACTCAGGAGGCTGAGATCTGAGAGGATTACTGTTCAAAGCCAGTATAGGCAGGAAAGTCCATGAGACTCTTACCACCAACAAACTACTCAGAAAAGGCCAGCTTTTTCTGGGGCTCAAGTGGTAGAGCACTAGCCTTGAGCACAAAGAGTCTCAGACAACGCTTTGGCCCTGAGTTCAAGTCCCAGGACCAGCAAACAAACAAAAAAATTGCAAAACCATTTTCTTGCCTTAAATTGGCAGAAATCAAAAATCCCAATAACACCAAAGCAATGGGTAATGTCTGCCCTACGAATAGGAATAAACAATTTGACATCTTGTGAGGGTGAAATGTATGCTCATAACCCAGATCTTATTTGTAGGTCATTTTGCATGTGAGTGCCCTCCATCCCCCTTAGCCCCAGTTAATCACTAATTTACGTTCTGTCTCTGGAATGGGAATTACGTGGCTTTTTGCATCTACCTTATTTCCCTTAGGCTGATGTTTGAGTCCTCCATGCTGTAGCACTTCCCAGTGTCTTGTTTCTTATTGGCCAAGTGACATCTACCAGGCCTTGTTGCAATTGCAATGAGGACTCCAACTGAGTGTCCTGGCTGGGGCTTGACTTGCAGTACCCCATTAAAAGAGTGGTAGGGAATCGGTTTGATGGTGAACAAGAGCTTACCAGATGGAAGCAGGGTCCTGCATCCTCCAGTGCCCCCTAGACCAAACAGGCCAAGCCCCAAACCTAGATGCCCAGGCCTAAAACTGTAGAAAGTTCTCTGGTGTAGAGGCAAACAGGAAACCAGAGAACCTGTAGAGTTTACTCACCAGAATAGAGAAGTGGTGTGGTGTGGATGGGGAGGCCAGCAATGTTATTGGTAGAGTCTCGTGTGGCATCACAAGGCAGTTTGGTTCGCAGAAAAGGGGTGGTCAGGAAATTCTGCCATTCCTGACTCAAAAACCCCCTCCCTGGACACAGCATCATATGGAAGGTAAATTAAATATGGTTTTCAGCTACTATCTACTAGGATGGACATTCGTGTGCTAGGCTCTATCTTTTCTTTTTGGCATACTGAGAATTGCTAGGCCCTATTGCAACTTCAGACTCAGCTGCTATTTTCCAAAGTAGCCACACCATGTTTCATTTCTTATCTTTGCAAATGCTTATAAATGATCTTTTTCATTATAGCCATCCTAATGGGTATAGTTATTTAATTGGAATTTTGATTTGCTTCTAGGGCTCCATGTACCCAGTGTTGGTAGGAACCCCAATTCAGCCTCCAGACCATATCTACAAAGACTTCTGGAGGCACTACAGGTGGAATCTGGGAACCCTGACCTTGGTGGCTTCGGGGCTGGAGGCCAGCATGTTGCTGAAGGGTCTGTAGAGAGCTCACGTGAGTGGGAGCTCCCTGCCCCAAGGAAGTTCGATGTGGATCAGCCTTGGCAACAGCACCTCAGACCTTAGTTTTCTCAAGATCAGAAACGGGCTAGCCTAGACTGCTCCAGAGACATACTTAAGTGCCCATTGTACCCCAGCTCCACTTCCAGAAGTAGCAGATGAGCCAGCACCTATCCAGACTGCTTTGGTGAACCCAGCTCTGCCAGCATGCTGTGTACCTGGCAGTCACTTCAGGGCCTGACCATGTGGCTTCTGTCCCCAGGTGGGGAGGGTATGTCTGCTCAGAGGTGCTAGGTCATCTAACTCTTGGCCCCTCTGGACAGCAGCCCTGCCTTCTAGCTCCACCCTGGTCACTCTGAGGCACAGTTGTCTCCCATCTCTTCCCCATCATGTCCCTCCAGGTTCCGGCTGGGTGGTCACAGGCCTGGTCTCTGCTCTTGACTTTTTATTCAACCCTGAAAGATGCAGAGAATGGGAGTGACATCCTTCAAGGCCAAGATTCTTATGGGGGTGGAGGGTGAGGAAGACTCAGGTTCCAGCCCTGGTGGCCCTGAGAGCTCTCCATTGGCTGACACTCAGCCTCCCTCCCCACCCCCCCATGGATTAATGGTGCTGCTTCTACTTGTGCCTTGGGAGCAAGCCTCAGGGCAAACTCTGTGGTTGGAACCCTAAAGCAGTGTCCCATTCCTTGATGTCGTGCCACTAAGGATGTTGTCTTTAGTGGGTCGGGTCTCCAGCCCTGCTCTCTAGGGAGTGCTGTGAGTCCATTTTGCACCTTTGTATAGTAAGACGTCTTGGGACTTAGAGCCACTACCAGCCTGAGACCAGGAAGAGGTGGAGCCCTCAGGTCTGTATGAGGGAGCCTGAAGTCTGGGATAGACATGAAGCTCAGTTCTATTCCAGACCACTGCTTCCTCAAGCCTTCCTCTAAGGGGCTCAGCCTGAGGAGATCCTGGAGAAGATAGGTTGGGGGTCCCCCTACTTACCTTTCTTTGGTCAAGCCCCATTCTTTCCTGGCCTTCACCATGAGGTTTGTTCCAGGAGCAAAGAGAATGTGGGCATCAGTGATAAGTGGTCTGGGCCAGAAGCCTCTCAGTCCCAATTCTGGAGGTCAGAAGCTCAAGGAAACCCTGCTTGCACTGGGGGGAGTGGAGTGGAGAAAGGGTCAGTTGTGTCCCTGGGGGGGGGGGGGGGGAAGCCTCCACCGTGTGGGGTGAAGTCAGAAATAAAGTGAGGTGCTTGCTGCATGTGCTGTTGCTCACATCCCTATACACCGTATATGAGAGCCTTTCAGCCACTGACTGGCAGAGGGTCCCCAGAGGCACATACCCACTTTCCAGAGAAAGATCCAGCACGTGGCATGTTCAGTGTGGCTCAGAAAGGAGCAACCCTGCAGGACTGAGGCCTAGAGTCCTGAAGGGCCAGGAGGGCTTGGCCTTTGCCAGGCTCTAGAGGGCATGTCCCTCTAAGGACCTGACATATCCTTGGAACTCTGTAACCTCTGCCCTCAGTCTTGCTTGGATTTCAGATTGGAGTCTAGAACTTTCTGAGGCTACATAGGGCACTAGACTCAGGGAGGGATCATGAGGTAGGGGGCAGGGAACACGGCCATTCTCTCCCTGGACATGGAGGAGGATGGGATCAGGCTGTGATATATAGTGAGTAGAGGCTCTGGCCCATTGGAGACTCCAGGCTCAGGCACTCGGTCAATCTAGGGTAGAAGCAGAATATGTCACACCTCGAATTGTTAGAGAAATATGTCTGTCTTGCAACCTATGGGCTGGCCTAGTGGGTCTGGGGAGATAATGCTCTGTGTCCTGGGTGCCCCAACCCCACCGTATGCTTTCACAAGCTCCTGGTCAGAGGCCACCCTTAGAATATGGCTTGTGTTCCACAAATCTGGGTTCTTCAGGAGATTGGGTTGGGTGAGCCTGCTGACTCTCCTCTTTGGGAGTGTCAGGGACAGAGCTGTCTTTATGTCCTTCCCCAAAGCCATCTGTCACTGTGGAACCTGGTCATGCCAACCTCTGCCCTGCACTGGGCCTGGGTGGTCCAGGCATTTCTATTTTTGATCCCCAGCTTGGGTGGTGTGGTAGGTACAGAGTCTTGGGGTGTTCATCTCCCCAGATCCCAACCACAGAGTTGGAAATATAATTATTCAATAGATGTTTACAAATGCTAGTTAAGTGTCCGGCAGTTGTTGTGGTTGCTGGGAATAACATGATTGAAGTAGAGTTTCTAAACTCAGGATGTGGGGAGAGGGCTGGTTAGTCAACTGGCCAATGGAAAACCGCCTGGAATTGACAAATGGCAAAGGGAGCACTCCCATAGGCTGTTTTAGTGCCCCTCTGAGGAAAGAACAGATAAACTGAGACCAGTATGTCAGGGGTGGCTGCCTGTGAAAAATCCAGTGAAAAAGCCACCGGTGCCAAGGGGTTGGGGAGTAGAAAGAACCAAGGGGTTTTGGGCCAGTGTAGTGGGGTAAGATGAGGCAGCCAGGGCCAGGCCTGACAAATGGGGAGTGTTTTCCAAGAACAGCAGGGAGCAACAGGACTTAGGATTTGAGTCATTCTGGAGGCTGTATGGAAAAGGAGTTGGAAGCAGAACAGCAGGCCACTGCAGTCATGCCCATGAGTGGCAAGGGCTGTGGGTGTGGACAGAAGTGTGTGCTCTGGGGGTTGAACAGCCTCATGTGACAATGCCGGGGGCAGGGGCACACGCTTGGGGAGGTCAGCTGGGCCATTCACAGCCCTGGGAACTGAACCCCAGGGAGAGGCAGGGGTGAGGGAAATGTAAGTCTGAGACATCCCAGGAGCTGGCCATGGAGTGGTGGGCCAAGGGTGTGGGGGCTCGGGGAGGGAGCAGGGCATGCCATTAGCATGGAACATGAGCTGTGACATAGGCACACAACTCCCCCAAAGTTTAGATCCAGGAGAGGAAGGGTCTCAGCACCAGTCTAGGTGCTGAGCACTGAGAACAGCATTTTCCTCTCTTTGACCATGCAGCAGGCCCTTGCTCCGGGATTGTGTGTACACCTCACAATGTTTAGCTACACCTTTGTTTCCCTACTGTTCCTCACCTGGCACTGTGCCAGGGAAAGGTGTTTCCAGGGGCTCCTCTTGTGGGGAGGAGAGCCATGTTCAGGGAGAACATCTGAGTGATTTTGGGAAAAGACAGGAAGCTGAGTCTTGAGAGAGTTCCAAGGGAAGGGAAGTGACAAAGAGGACACAGTCCATCCAACCAGGGATGGACTCTAGAGGGCAGGCTTCAGATGCCTTACTTCCGAGGGCTAAGAGTGAGGAGCCGGGACAGAGCCTGGGGCAGTAGGATGGGTGCTGCTGCCTCTGGGGGAAGGAAGGCTGTCTAGGGGACCTTCTGGCTCATGCTAGGAGGTGGGCTCGCACAGATGAAGAGGCTGGGCTCCTGGCCCTTTGTATGGGAACAAACAGCTTGAACTCTGGCACAGGGGGGCCTTGGGAGACACTCCTGCCTAATGGCTTCCATTTCTCCTGAGTACCAGACAAAGTCACAGCAGGGAGGGATTCGGGGCGGGCAAGGCAGGGGTGTAGAGTGTCAATGGGAAGGAAAGTAGACCAGAAAAGTCTGGAGATTGGTGGTCATGAGTTTAAAGCAAAGCTAGTTGATGTGGTAATGCCATGAGTGTATGGCTCTGGGAAGGGGAATCACTTGGTCAAACTCAGGGTGGGAAGACAATTTGATCAGGGTTGGGACTTTGTCATGCTGATGACAGAGGATGGCTCCAGGGTCAAACAGGAAGTTCTGGAAATAAAGGTCCAGGGCCCTTACTTAAGAGGCAAGGACTTTAGTGTGGGACTAGCACTAAGTAGAGCCCTCCAGGCAGAGGTCTGGGCCACCAAATACCTCAGCCCTGGAGGAGAATTTGCTCCAGGGTTTTTCACTAAGATGTTACAGGTCTCATTAGGCTCTCATGACCAATTTGGGGAGAAGGATTTTGCTCTTTGGAAAAACTAATTGCTTAAATGCTAGGCCACTGGTTTCCTGAGGGCCTGTTTCCAAGGCCATCCCTGCAGGACACCTTCACTTGGGCAAGGTGTAAGAGTGCTCATGCATAGTGACACATTGACACTTGCTACACTGTCCTTATCTTCTGACATTGTGGACCAGGGATCAGGACAGGGAATGACTCCATTTCCTGATATAGTGTGCCCATGAGACCCCATCTAGGAGTGGTACATGTGCCTGGTTTTGAGGGACCGGGAGAACAGGGACCTTCCACCACTTGGGATGGTGGGGACAGGTGAGTGGACCTTGAGGACTGAGCATCCTATTGAGACATCACAATGAGGAGTGGGGTGGGTCCCTCTGGCAGAAGAAACAACATCCTGGAAAGGATAACAGGTATGAGGACTCAAGGTATGCCGAGGGTCAGCCCAGCCTGGTTGGGGTGGGGATGGAGTTGGGGCCCTGACTGTCCATCCCCATAGCTGGGGATGCTCTAGGGACTCTTGCTATTGGCTTCTGTAGATCTGGGGCTAAAAACGGCCAGTCCTGGTAGTGGAAAGGCATTGCAATGGATGATTGGATGGAATTTAGGAAGAGCTGAGACCTGTGACTAGGTAGGCCCAGATTCTCTCCCCTGTACCCCTGCAGGATGGAGCAAGTGTATGCTAGGTGTGTGCTAGGGAGAACTGGAGAGACACAAGTGTAGTGTGTGTGTGTGTGTGTGTGTGTGTGTGTGTGAAGGCCTAATGCAACAGCAACCCCACCTTGGAAAACTAGTACACCCAACACAGTGCTCATGGAAGGTATGCCTGGGAGGTATGGTGGCAGCAGACAAAAATCCCACCCCCTCTTGGGTGCATCTTGCAATCTCCTGCCTGTGCCCACCTGAGCTGGTCCCTCACTGGTTAGTAGAGGCTGCTGAGCATGGCCTGGTACTTTGTAGCACTAACAATAAGGTTGACCCTGTGGTAGGCTATGGGCAACCCTATTTCAGTTTCTGCAGTTTTCTGGAGGCCTAGCCCTTTAAGGAAAATAGACCAGAAGATGCCCCAGTGGATACTAGTCTTAGTATTTGGGGGAGATTCTTCCTGCCTCAGCCTGAGTATGGAGATGGCAGACAAGTAGTCCCTCTCCATGCCCCCTTATGGTCTCTGGGGTGCAGACTCTGGTGCAGGGAGCAATTAGGACTTGCAGGAACTTTCACAATTAGCTTTCCTGGTTCCCATAGCATCCTCAATCCTTCAGTGTAGGGGCCTCTCCATCCCTGATGACTGTGGGCACAGGCTGTTCCCAGTCCAGTCAGCAGGAAGAATGTATAAAAGGAATGTCTCGAGTGGTCTGCTGTGGGTGGAGGTCTGGGGAGGAGCCAAGGAAGCTGGCTGTCCTCTTTTACCTAGGTTTCAACTTCCTCATCCAGCTGGGTTTGTCACGCCTAACTGGAGTGCTGTGTGGTCCAGCAGGATGGCAGCGTCAGGCCAAGATCAAGGAGGAAGCTGCATTTGACAAGGCTAGGCAGGTGGTCTGGAGATCACAGATCTAAGCCTGGGTAGGGATAAGATATTGTCAGAGGTCACACTCCTGCTCTCTCAGAAGTGGCCAGGCCAGAGTGAAGGTCCATGTTGGGCATGCTGGATTGAGGTGGGGAAGCCCCACTTTCTGAGATGAATCAAGACGTGTATCTAAACGATGCACTGCCAAAAGGCTGTGTAAATGTGAGGTCTTGTTCTACTCTGGGCTTACACCGACAGGACTTCTAATAAAGATGATGTCCTTGGGGCTGTCCAGGAGGAAATTGATGACAGTGGCTGGGGGCAAGTGGGGAGTGTGAGGGGACCTGAGTTCAGGCAGGTGGGATCAGGGTAGGGTTTAGTGTGTGACCTTTTTTTCTCACCGAGTTCTTGTTTCCAGTGCAGTTGGGCAAAGGCAAGATCTTTCCCTTTCTGTGTCTCAGGTACCGCCTTTTACTCTGAGCTGTGTGAGAAAGATCCTCACTCTGGCTGGAAGAAGGCTTCAGCCCACTTCCTGTGGTCAAGGGCTGGCTGGCGTTCTCCACGCCCCCAGCCCAAAGCAGGAGACTCAACTGTTGCTTTGACCTGCGTCTATGCCAGTTTCCCTCTTACCTTCTTTGACCTTAATGGTGGAAAACGAGGCAGCAACAGGAAAGCTAAAAATCATACAGTCGCTTCCCAGGGAGTTGGGATCCTTTCAGTGAAAGGGCACGGGTCTCCCGCAGGTTGAGAACCATCTCGTTACGCAGGCGGCAGCAGGTGGCGCCCGCTACCCAGAAACGCGCCCCTTCTCAGGCTTCACAGGTCCGGCCGACTCCAGCCGGGGTGGCGAAGCCTAAATGGGCCAAGACCCAGCACCCTGCTCCTCCGACCCGGAGCCCCTCGCTGTTTTTTTGTTTTTTTTTTTCCGGTGGAGTTTGGGGTGGGGATGTAGCTCCTTATGCGCCAGCATCTCAACCCTCCCAGACTTTCCACTTGAGACTTCTTCGGGGCAGCAGCAGGAGCAATCAGATCGTGCCCACCGCCCTAGACCCGGGTGCTCCGCCCCAGCGTTGCAGTCCGCAGCCAAATGGATCCTTACCAGTGCCCGAAGATACGCCAGCCAGCTCAGCGGCCCCGCCCCCCCCCCCCCCCCCCCCCGCCACGCCGGCCCCCTCTGGTCTGGCTGCCGGGAGAAGGTGTGGGGCGCCCGGGCGGAGGGCCGAGTTCCGGAGGCTGGGCACCGCTGGTCTACCCGCAGGCAAAGTGCACCCTCCGCCCACCCTAGGCCAATCTCCCGCCCCGCCTCCCTCCCCTCCTCCTGCTCCCGCCTCCAGTCTCCTCCCTCCTCCAGCCTTTTCCCCACTCCCCAGCCGCGGCGGGCTGCAGGCAGGCTCGGCTCGGCGCGGCGCGGGAGCCTGCGCGCGGAGCGTCAGCTCTGCGCCTCCGCCACGACCCGCCACGCACCTCCATCAACCCGGCCCGGGGCCCTGAACCCCACCGTGTGTCCGGGAGCCTCGTGGCACGACGGCGCTACTTTCCTCGGGTCGCGAGTGGGACTGGGACCGCAGCGGGACAACTTGGAAAACTTCTCTTGGACGGCCTGCGGGGACTGTGGGATGGGGATGTAGGCGGGCAGTGGCTGGCCCCGGGGCCGCAGACCTCCCAGGCCGCGTCCGGCCAGATCCTGGCACCACAGAGCCTTCTGCGCTACCAGGGGGACGACCCCTTCGTGTGGTCCAGCCAGGGTGGCCCTCTCTCCTGTGGTGCGTGCGTTTGGCGAGCTGTGCTCTCCCTGGCCACATCTGGCCCCACCATGGACCACCAGGAGCCCTACTCCGTGCAGGCCACGGCCGCCATCGCGGCGGTCATCACCTTCCTCATCCTCTTCACCATTTTCGGGAACTCACTGGTCATCCTGGCTGTGTTGACCAGCCGTTCCCTGCGCGCCCCACAAAACCTGTTCCTGGTGTCGCTGGCGGCCGCTGACATCTTGGTGGCCACGCTCATCATCCCTTTCTCGCTGGCCAATGAGCTGCTGGGCTACTGGTACTTCCGGCGCACGTGGTGCGAGGTTTACTTGGCGCTCGACGTGCTCTTCTGTACTTCGTCCATTGTGCACCTGTGCGCCATCAGCCTGGACCGCTACTGGGCGGTGAGCCGCGCGCTGGAGTACAACTCCAAACGCACTCCGCGCCGCATCAAGTGCATCATCCTCACCGTGTGGCTCATCGCAGCCTTCATCTCGCTGCCGCCCCTCATCTACAAGGGTGACCAGGGACCCCAGCCCCACGGGCGCCCCCAATGCAAGCTCAACCAAGAGGCCTGGTACATCTTGGCCTCCAGCTTCGCGTCTTTCTTTGCACCCTGCCTTATCATGATTCTTGTCTACCTGCGCATCTACCTGATTGCAAAACGCAGCAGCAACCGCAGAGGTCCAAGGGCCAAGAGAGGCCTTGAGGATGGTGAGTCTAAGCAGTCTCGTCCTGCCCCTGGGGGCCCCCCAACCTCAGCCAAGGTGCCAACCCTGGCCTCTCGTCTATCTTCTACTGGAGAGGCCAATGGATGCCCCAATCCTCCTGGAGAGAAGAACGAAGGGGAGACCCCAGAAGATCCGGGGGCTAGGGCCTTGCCACCTAGCTGGCCTGCCCTTCCCAATTCAGGCCGGGGCCCGAAGAAGAGCATTTGTGAGGCATCTGTGGAGGAAGCTGAGGAGGAAGAAGAGGACGCTGAGGAGGAAGAGGAAGAGGAGGAAGAAGCCTGTGAACCTCAGGCAGTGCCGGTGTCTCCTGCCTCCGTACACAGACCACCCTTGCAGAAACCCCAGGGTTCCCAGGTGCTGGCCACCCTTCGTGGCCAGGTGCTCCTGGGCAGGGGTGTGGGTGCTATGAGTGGGAGGTGGTGGCGTCGCCGGGCACAGCTGACCCGGGAAAAGCGGTTCACTTTTGTGCTGGCTGTGGTCATCGGTGTCTTTGTACTTTGCTGGTTCCCCTTCTTCTTCAGCTACAGCCTGGGCGCCATCTGCCCACAGCACTGTAAGGTGCCCCATGGACTCTTCCAGTTCTTCTTCTGGATCGGTTACTGCAACAGCTCTCTGAACCCCGTCATCTATACCATCTTCAACCAGGACTTTCGCCGTGCCTTCAGAAGGATCCTTTGCCGCCAGTGGACCCAGACATCCTGGTGAGCCTGCTTGCCCCCTGCCAGTATGGGAATGATGCCAGGGTCACCGTTTCTTGCTCTGCTCTATGGGGCTGTCTCCCTGGGGCTTTCTGGTCCCTGTCCAGCTCCTACAGACCTCATCCTAGGAGCCCCTCTGGAAGGTCTGGGACAGAGGGGCTGTTTAAATGGGTTCACTCAAAGTCTTCCTTTGCTGGCTCTGTTGTGGGGGAAATATCTTCACCACCCAAACACAAGCAGATGGATAACAGGCTCTTCCTGGATGAAGCTGAAATGAGGCTGGAATAGAGGACCTCCCTCCCAGTCACCCATTAGCTGATAGGTAGGCCTTCCTTTCCTGAGGTACCTGTGTGCCTTGCCAGGTGACTTGCTGGTGACCTTTTCTGTTTCTTTTTTATCACCCCAAGCCCCCCCCCCCTTTCCCCAGAGAGCAGGAAGCCAGCTTTCTCCTTTTCCCAAGAGGTACTGCTGCTAAGGAGGAAGAAATGAAACTGTTCACCTGTCTTGGGCACCAGAATGGGGATTTATATGATGGTTTTGTCTCTGCGCCCTCCATTCCCCCCTACCTTCAGATTGTGGCTCCTTAGAAGATCAGAACTGTGGATTGGTTTCCTTACCCAGCACCCTTCTGGGAAGCAAGTGGGCATGTTGCTGCATCTAGTGAGGTGGTCTGGGGGGGTCTAGCCTCTGCTCCAGTGGATGATCCTCAAACCCTGGCATTCGCCCCTTGTCAAAGCCAGGGCGACAATTGCTTTGCCGCCTACTTGCTGCAGGGAGATGAAAGCTCTGCAGAAAGCTTTGAGCTCCATGGGGGAATGCACTAGCGAACCAGCAAATGTCATTATCTGGTGATATAAAAATCCCTTTTCTATGTGTTTACCACCACCCGCCTTCCTGCAGACTTTTGTTCTGTGCCTGGGGTATGAATTCCTACCCCAAACGGGAAGCGAGGAGTAGCACACAGAATCACTATTTCAAGTTTCAGGATTTCTTTAAGAACATGCTCTTATGCCTGCAAAGGTTTGAGTTATTATGCTGGGTGACAGCTTCTCAACATGTTTCTTGCAACACCAAGAGGGTTTTCAGTGATTTGGCCCCTACCCCAGTGGGAGATAAATCTTTTGTCATCAAGCAAGGAAATTGTTTCCCCAAGACAGCTAAAAATACCCACACCACGGAAGCAGTCTGAGATAACTTCAGGTGGAGGACTTGGGCAGGGCCTCGGTGGACTCCTGGAAGAACCACTTGCTACAGTGCTCTGGCTCTGGCAGGTCTCTGCCTTGTATGGGTCCTTGTAAAATATTACTAACTGCACCCCTGGTGGGTGGTTTGCTGGCTGTCTGTCTAGGACCCTGCAGTGATGGGGCTGTACACCGAGGAGCCTTTTCCTCCTGCTTCTCCCTGCACCCCAGATCTTGGTATTTGGAACAACTGGGAGCATGAGGGATGTTTCTCAGCCTTCTCCGTGGGCTGCTCTGGCTTCAGCGCTGAGCAGCAGACCTCTTAGTATTGGGGAAGGGTGGGCTGAGCACCTGGATGTTGGCAGCGTATGCACCTGCTAGATCTGGAAGGGTGCTAAGGGAGTTTTCTGGAGTGGAGAGAATGATGTTCAAAGAGTCCTTCCAGAGGAAGAAGGCTGCCCAACTTGGTCCTCAGTGGGTGGTGGCTGTCAAGCAAGGACACTGGCCTGGGGTATGGTTGGGGGGTTGGGTTCAGGGGAAGGGACTGCTTTGTGATCATCTGCCGACAATCATGTGTGTACCCTCAGGGGGATGTGGCCTGTGGCCCCCTTGGGGTGACATGCAAGGTTATTTTTTTTCCAGAAGTTGACCTATTTTATCAATAAAGCATATTTTGGAATAAACAAATCTTATCCTTGTTTTCCAAAAGCTTCCAGGAGTGGTTGATTCTCAGCTCTTTGCACAGCATGCTTGAATATTGACCCTGTGAGCTAGAACTCCCTCCCAGGGACAGCTATCCTGATCTTCTTCAGGTGTAGCTGTATCTCCCCCCCCCCCCCCCCGCACCTGTCACCCTCAGCATCCTAATTCATCATCACAAGTTAGTGGAGGTGAGGAGAGCCAGAGGAGCTGGAGACAGACATTGGATAAGAGAAAAGAAGGAGAAGGAGAGCTCCACAGAAGAGGTGGCCTTTAGGTTGAGTTTTGGAGGAGAAACAGGAGTGCACCTCCTGTTTGGTACAAGCAAAGGCTACATACAGAGGCTGTTGAATCAGTGACAGTGAGACAGCATCAAGCTACCCTGTTGATTAGTCACTCGCAGCAGCAGGGACCACTGAGGTGGATGGAAACCTCAGGGGTAGGTGGGAGGGAGGAATGCCTCTCTGCAAATGACATGAAGCTGCTATTTGTGGCAGGGGTAGCAGGCAGAATGGAGTTGCTGTGCTCCGTCCTCAACCCTTCTAGCTGGAAGGCTGTGAACACCATTGTCCACATGAAGTGCCTAAGGCCCCCAAGCTACATTGATCTGGCTCTAATCGCAGGCTGGTAGCCAGAGACCATAGGCAGGGCTGCTGCCCAGGGCAGACCCCAGAAAGTGGAACTTAGAGGAAACAGTGAGACCTGAGTTATGGGGTATGGGGTTACTCCACTATTCCCATTGTGTATACTTTCACCATGTCCGTAATTTCTCAGTGCCATGCTCTGCTAGAGCAGAGCTTCCAGTGTGCATATGGCCTTACTGAACCTAACACGAAAGACCTGGGGCTGGGAAGGTGGCTCAGTGGTAGAGCGCTTGCCTTGCATGCATGAGGCCCTGGGTTTGATTCCTCAGCACCACATAAACAGAAAAAGCCAGAAGTGGCACTGTGGCTCAAGTGGTAGAGCGCTAGCCTTGAGCTGAAGAGCTGAGGGACAGTGCCCAGGAGAGTTCAGGCCCCATGACCGGCAAAAAAAAAAGAAAAAAAAGAAAAAAAAAAAGATCCACCTGCCCTATTCCCATCTCCTCTACCCCTAGCCAAGGCACCAAGGTCCTGAGGCCTCCTACATTTCATATGGCGGGTTGCTCTGAGGTACCCTTTTCCTGAGTCTTTTCTGGTACTCATTCCTACTTGCTAAGATATGAATCTGTCCATTTTATCCAGGGGAAACCAGACCCAAAGAGGTGTAATGATTTTCTCAGGGTCATCCAGGCTCATGGTCTTTTCATTGAACCCCATGTCTCCTGTTGTATGAGGCTCTTCAAGGGGCAGGTTCCTGGACCCGAGATCAGGCACTCTGTCTGTCTCTGGAAATGGAGATAGGAACTTACCTGTGAAGTGAAGTGAACCAGTGGAGTTGCATTGTTTGCAAGTCCATCATGAACATACAGTCTCATTTAATCCTAGTACCCTTGTTGGAAGAGGTCATTGTACAAAAAGAGGACATTGTGACAGCAAGTTACTGTGCTGGGTCCTGGGACCATAAAACTACCAAATTCAGACACAGAATTGTGGTTCCATCTCTTGAGCCAGCTCTCTCACTCAGTGGTGCTGGCTGCATGGAGATGCTGAGACTGCATCTGGGTGGATTCAGCAGGTGGCAGTGCTGTGGTTGATTGTTTATGTCTGCCACTGCCACTAAGAAGTGTATGATTGTGTGTGTGTGAGTGAGTGATTTTGCATTCTTGAATTTTATGAAGGAAGAGACTAAAGCCCAGTGAAGATGACTTGCTTAGAATGGCCTCACATAGACACATAGAGGCAGCGCTAGATCTAGAATCCAGGCTGCCCAGCACATCATACCTTTTTGCTCAAGGGATTGCTTTGAATCCAGATTTAGGGGGTACCTGCTGTGAGGCCTTTATAGGCAAGATCCTTGTCTAGGTACATTCTGATTTTGCTACCTTATTCAATTCCAAGATGAGGAAGGCAAGAGACAGCATCCCAGGGATCCATCCAGGGCCATGCAACTAATAGTAGGGTGCATCTGGAGCCAGATCCAAGATCCCTGGCTCCCAATCCCCTCTCGGTTTCCCTCTTACTCCTGGCAGGTCTTTGTGAGTAGGACTTGAGCACATCTGAGGGTTACTAGTTTCCTAAGGAAGGCTTGGAACAGTAGAGATGGGCAGGGGGTGCAAGTGGCCCTTTTCTTCACAGGAGTAACCCTGGCAAACCCTAGAGGTGAGGTCAGGGGCCAGTGCTGGAAGGAGCCTGGTGTCAGCACACACCCTCCCTGCTTTGTGGGTTCTGATCTAACACCCTGTGCTGGCCCTGGGCCAAAGACTGCTGCCCTTGGCTTAGCCTTGTGGCCATCTATAGATTAGAATTGATTTCAGGAGAGCCCCTTTTTCATCTTGCCTCCAAGTAGAGGCAAAGTGCCTTGGTGGAGCACAGCAACCTTCTGGAGACTCTTTTCTTGCGATATCCCTAAGTTCAGGGTGGCCCTACCACAGAAGAAGTGGGGAAAAGACACCCCTTCAGTCACCTTACTCTGGGACAATTTGTATCATTGTTGGTAGGTTGGACCCTGGAGGGAGCTTTCAGAGCTGGCCCCTACTTCAGGCTGCTGTTGGGAAGTTGAGGCTGTTGAAAAGTCTTCTATGGAGCATTGTGGTGAGGGACCCCACTGACTACCTGCTTAGAAAAGGTCCTAGAAGGAAGGTGCCCAACTGCAGAGACTCTGGGTGGAGGAAGATGTATGGGCTAATGCAGCCTGTATTCCTGTCCTCTTTGAGATCCTTTCCTTCCCTCCCTCCCTGCCTCCCTCCCTCTCTTCCCCTCCCCCTCCCCCTTCCTTTCTCTCCCTCCCTCTCTCTCCCTTCCCCTCTTCCCCCCCCACCCCCCCTGTGCCAGGAAGAGAATGGGAAGCTTGAAAAATGGGATTGCTGCTGGCTTCAGCCAGTATGTGCTGACTGGAGTTGCTTCTAGGTGTCCTTCCATTACCCTAGTGAGGCTGAGCATTCTGCTCACAGGTCCTGGTCACTGTGGATGGCAGGGATGGGCTGGGGCTTCCATGCCCATGAAAATACAGAAGCCCAAGGGTCATGTCCCACCTCTGCCACAGCTGTTTGTCCCTGGGCTAAGCTTGATCCTTGCCTGCCACAGAGGATACCCCTGTGGTCCCCAGGATTCCCCAGTTTGGCTCTTCTCTTCCCTTCTAGTTTGCTCCAGCTCCCTGCAAGGTTCAGACAGAGGTTCCTGCAGTTAGTCAATTTCTGCCAGGGCCATGCTTATGGCTTATGGAAGTTTTTCTTTTCTTTGTGCCTCAAAACAGAACTAAGCACCAAGCTTGAAGTGAGCGCTCCATTGGAGGGGTCTCTGAGATGGGCCATTCAAGAGGAGTAAGGGAAGCACTGAGCTATAAAAGCACAGTGTCTGATATGCATCATGTGAACTTGGTGCAATTAATATTTCTGTTTCTAGGTGAGGAAACTGAGGCAGAGGGCGGACTTGCCTAAGGTCATCTAGAATCGAGACGGAAATCCACCCAGCCTCTGCCTCCTCTGCAGTTCAGTGCAGCTTTTCCCAATGCCAGCCATGGGGTCTCTGAGCCTTGACCCCTAGGTAGCTCTGGGTAGGTAGTCCTTCCCTACTGATCCCCCATATTAACAAGGTCCCAGGCAGGGGGTGCCAAACTCCCATCTCCCAGGCTCTGCTCACTGTCAGCAGGGTAGACAGGGCACACGAGGCTAAAATTAGCTTCTGGATTCTTCGTGCTCCACATCCATCCTTCTTTCATCCAGCTGGGGAAGGCTGTTGTCAGAAGGCCAGTGCTGGAAGGAGCTGGAAGGAGCTGGAAGGAGCAGCACACACACTCCCTACTTTGTGGGTTCTGATCTCACACCCTGCACTGGCCCTGGGCCAAAGGCTGCTGCCCTTGGTTTAGCCTTGTGGCCATCTATTGATTAGAAGTGATTTCAGGAGAGCCCCCTCTCCATCTTGCTTCTACTTCCCATCCTAGCTCCCTTCCCCCCTTCTCTTCCTTCTTCCCTTCCTTTAATCCCCAGAGACTGCCCTTCCCCCCTGCCTTGGGCAGACTCTGACTTCCCCTCATCCAGGGGCATGACCCTGGTTCTTCTGTTGCCCTGCGGGGCTCCATGGATCAGTGGTGGCTGTGAGGAGGCCGGAACAGCCTGGAGACTGAAAAAGATCCTGCCTCCCTGGAAAGTTGAGACTATTTCTGTCCCTGCTGCAGCCCTCTGGGGCCCCTGACTCCCCAGCAGGACAGGCAGGAGGGGGAGGTGCTAGGCCAGGCCCAGGGTGCGAGGGTTCTAACCTCTGATTTCCCAGAGGAGAGAGAAGGCCCCTTTTGGAGCTGAGGGGTGGCCCCTTGAATCTCAGAGCAGCCGGGATTTTTCAGATGGAATGCCTCCCCACCCATTCCCTTCTCCCTCTGGCTTCTGTAGGGACCTGGGGGCCACTTCAAGAGGGAAGTAGTGGAGGGGGACCCAGGTGTTCCTGTGTTTCTTTCCTACTTAACGCAGCTGCAGCTGTGGGGGGGGGGGGGTGAGAGGCTGCTGGGCCTTGGCTCTAAGGTATTTGAGGGACTGGGAGGCAAGAGTTAAACCCAGCCTTCTCTCTCAGCACATGCGTCATGGCCAAAAGTGACCAGGGCAGCAGGCTCCACTGGGCCTCTCACAGTGAATTCGCAGCTGTTCCAAGCACAAGTCCAGGCCTGGCTCCTGGAGTCAGGTAGGCACCTATACTACAGCGTTTGGGAGGACTTCCTGGTGGTTTCAGAAGCACTGGTAGTGACCCTAGTAGTTCAACCAAATGGCTGGGTGACCTGGAGCAAAGCCCTTTGCCTCTCTGAACTTCAACTTCTTCCTTGTCTGTGAAGGAGTGGGACTGGAATCTGTGGTGCTCAGGGCGCTGCCCCAGGAACCCCAGGACAAGGGGGAGAGAAGAAGGGAGCAAAGCCTG